ACGTCAGGATTGCTTGCGAAATGAGCGAAAATGTATAGGTTTAATGTTCCTGCAATAATGTAAGATGTCAATCTCCGTGAGAGAGAGAGAGAGAGAGAGAGAGAGAGAGAGAGAGAGAGAGAGAGAGAGAGAGAGAGAGGAGAGAGCGAGAGGGGGGAGCGAGAGAGACAGAGATAAAGGGAGAGAGACAGAGAGACAGAGAAACAACTTGACAAGGACAGAGAGAGAGAGAGAGAGAGAGAGGGAGAGAGAAAGAGAGAGACAGGGACACACACACAAACACACACTCAGAATGAGTGTGAGTGTGTGTGTGTGTGTGTGTGTGTGTGTGTGTGTGTGTGTGTGTGTGTTTGGGTGTGTGTGTGTGTATGTGTGTGTGTGAGAGAGAGAGAGATAGATAGATAGAGAGAGAGACAGAGAGAGAGACAGAGAGAGAGAGAGAGAGAGGGGTGAAGGAGTAAAAAGTAGCAGGAAAGGATAGTACACCAACAAACAGACAACCGGACAGACAGACTGACAAATAGACAGACAGACAGACGGACAGACAGACAGATAGATAGACAGACAGAAACAATTGACAAATACCTTTAAAAAATAGATAGCACAGACAAGTAGGCCTACCTTTAACTCATCAATAATAATGATCATTGTGGTAGACTCTGTTGGACATTTTATCTTTTTCCCAAACAGGTCGTACACAGTTATTTAGCGGGGTAATTAAAAAACCGCATGAACTGACATAAATCGAGAAGTTGAACTTGTTCTGATCTAAAAAAGATAACCGTAGGACGGGTGGTAAGCGCTAACAGAGTCTAAGAAAACGAAAGACGAGAAACCTGACAATCGATGAAGCAGAAGATAGTTATTATGGGAAAATGTCAAGGATTCTTGGTACTCTGTACAGTGAGAAAGAGCTATCACTGTGAGCAGTATCATTATTCTTAAATAAACCATCATTTTCACGTGATAATGACTCCTAATATACTGTAGTCGTCTATTATCAGCTCTTTAACACTCATTGTGTGTCTGGAAATGTCGGCCGAGAATAGGGGGAATCTACCCTAGCTTAGGTATGCCTTGAGAGAGTCACGGGGAATGGTGGTAATTGAAAGCGTTTCACCCCGCTCCACCCC